CCCCCCCCCCTCGCGACTATTCATGCAATCCGATCCTCTCCGTGGAAGTAACCCCCCCTCGGCGCAATCATTGCGTGTCTCCTCATCAGGGTTCTATTTTTTAAACGGTTCTCGGCGAAAGTACTCCAAGTGTTCATTGATGAGTTTGTAGAGGATCTCACCGGCTCAGCTGGCTCGCTTATCGTCGACCCGGATCGGGTCCTGCCACATCCTCGCAAAGCCGCCATGAAGAGGTCGGCTACCTCTCTGTCGGCATTCCTCCTAGCGCCACCGCCGCTGCTTCTGCTGCCACCGGAACGCCCGTGAGCCTTCTCCCACCTTTCGCGCTTGTTCTTGAGAAGCCTGTGAGCCATCTCTAAGGCTTTTGAGGCTACACGTTCTTCGGTGTTGGCAACAAAGACCTGTTGCTTGTTCGAAGACCTGTTGGGGCTCTTCTTGTCGACGAGAGTTGTGATCAGCAGCACCTCTCCGCGGCTCTTGTCTGGTCTCCACTCGTGCTGTATGACGTGCGTCTGGTTTCCCAGCAAAAGCATGTGCTCACACTTGCCTGGCTTTGACACAGCTGCCGCTGGCCCAGCTTCGGCTGCACTCATGATTGAACCCGCGCGCACCTCATTTTTTGTCTGATCAACTTTCTGAGTGGCTCTACCCTCTGGCCAAGCGGAATCGATTGCCGAGGTGTACNATTGAACCCGCGCGCACCTCATTTTTTGTCTGATCAACTTTCTGAGTGGCTCTACCCTCTGGCCAAGCGGAATCGATTGCCGAGGTGTACAAAACCCACATCTGTCGGGAAAGCGGCGAAAAATATTTTTGAAGGGGTTCCCGAACCAATTTTTTTTTGTACTGTTTTTTAGGCGTTCTTTGGGTGGTTCTGAAAGCAATAAAAAAAACGGTTTGGAAAAATCTCATTTTTCAGCTGCGCCGGGCGTATGCGCATCAGTTGCAGATGGCGCCCGAAGTAAGACGCGATTTTTTTTTTACAAAAAAAATACTATTATAACACATGAGCCGAACAGCAACAATCGTGCGTTCGATACCCACTTGTAAATAGCCTACAACACAGACAAGTCATGATTCCCGGTATCGTGGGAAACATTAAAGCCGTTTTAAACTGACCGACTTTTTGTCAAAATTTTTGAAAGTGTCGAAAAAATGGAACCTGTATGTAGGCGTTTGTCCATTTTTTTCAAAAAAGCAATTAGGATAATCAATTTCTGTACACCTTTCTCAACAATTCCCATACACCCAGGTGACAGCGAAGAATTGGGAATCAAATTCCGCTGAACCAGAAATCTGCACTTCATAGAGCCAGCCAGCGATGTCGCCGAGAGGAGCACGCATGCAGTCATTCCGGTTTTAGCTCAGCCACCCACCTCTCTTGG